TGCTGAAACGTTGACTACAGTTTAATTGAGCATAACATACTCCTGAATTATAGGCTGGACTCAACATCACAATGATAAAATGAATACTCCTTGAACCACTTGACCTGGGTGAGTGCTATACTGCAACAGTAGGTACACTACAGTTTTTAATTTTTAAACTTTAAAATTAGGCACTCTGGCCTCACAGCTAGAAGGTCCTAGGTTCCATTATTATTTTAAGGGAAAGCATTTTGAGAGGCTCTTCTTGAGTCAGTTCAGCTATGATCTGAGAAGGAAGTGGACACTTCCAGTTGAACAGCCAAAGCAACTTTATTGGAAAGAGTGTTTGTACAAAGGTTGGAAGTTCGGATCCTGCTCTCAGTTCTCATCATTAGCAGAGTGGTTAGATCCATTTACCCACAGGTTGGCGGAATGATTCCAGTTGTTGCTGCAAGACACTTAACCCACCTTACCCCTCCTGTCTATGTACACTGATGTATGAGTGTGTGTGAATGGGTGAGTGGCTCCTTGATGTAAAGCACTTTGAGTACTTTGAAGACGGAAAAGCGCTGTATAAAAGTTTATAGTTTGTAGTTTGGATTTAGCCATCAGTGCCTTGATCTGGTCAAATGTGTTATGAACAAACCTGCCAACATGTGTCTTAAATATTTTTAACAAACAGAAATGCATATTTTTACTCACACTGATAGCTGACTGAATGAATAATGAAAACATCGTTCACATACTGTAATAGCATTTGACTTATTTTAAATCAAATGTTTTTTTTTATTATAAAGGCAGGGTACCTGTCTTTTTTCTTGGTACCAGAATTTTATCCATACCTGGTTTGTAACTTTCTATTGTGCTCTCCCAGGCCTATCAGGCATCAAAGGATAAACTGACAGTTTTATGTACTATTTTTTATACTGTACTTTTAATGGCATTGCTTTAGATAAAGTACAAACATAAAATGCAAAGGTTTAATGCAGTTGTTAATCTGTTGGTCCTACATCAGGGCACATGTACAAATCCACGAAGTGCTTGCCTCTGTAAATTAGCATTGTGCATTACAAACACATCGTGCGTGATACACAGACACTTTCTGATGTTTTACTGACTGAATATTTCACACTTTTGCAGAAAAAGATGTGACCTCTGGGCTTCCCGTAGATATCGGGGGTCGGGGAAGGGTCACATAGAGCAACTTGTGTGTCTGAGTACTACTATATCTCCAATCAGCTTCACTGAACAACTGAATGACCAGTAAAGCACCAAACGAGAAGATCTGCAGAACCTCATAGAGACTTAACAGAGTCTATTGATTTGAACTAAAGGCAAAAATGTTTATTTGTTCTCAGCGATCTTCCATTGTGTGAAGGTGGGAACTCCCTTTCAGTACCTGTGACCGAAATGAATGAGTGTATTTAGGGGGTCAAAGTGAGTGAATAGAGACCTGAGATTAATGATAATTTAGCATCATCTTCGTTGTCTCCGCGCCCTGGGCTGACCCTCGTGCCCAGGCAGACAATGGAAAAGTGCATTTGGAATCAACAACATCTCTGGACCACAGCCCGGTCGCCGCTAAGCCAGTCCAGTGAAGCTGAATCATTTTTGTTGGCTAAAGAGAAGCATTTCTATGGTTGTGACAGGCATACTTTCAGGCAAAAAGTTATTCAAGCGGGAACTATTGGACAAAATATTTTGGAGCCAATTTTATGTTGAAAACAAAATAAATGCTGAGAGCAGTGTATCCAGTTATACATTTGATTTGTAAACACAGATGGTTTCTTGGTGGTTTTCTGAAGTGATAACCTTGTTTTATTAAATTAAAAATAATAATGTATAAACAAAAATGAACTAATCCTGTTAATAACCCCCAGCTGTTGTCTTACAATGCACCAAATATAAAACCTTTAAAAAAAAAAAAAAAAAAAAAAAAAAAAAGCCAACACAACTCATTTCACTGTAAAAAAAAAAAAAAAAAAAAAAAAAAAATATATATATATATATATATATATATATATATATATATATATATACACACACACACACACACACACACACATATATACACACACATACATACACGGTAACTTATTGTGTTCGTGTTTGAGCATTGTCCTTCAAAATGGATATGTTACTAACTAGGAAGCTTTATCCAGGTTGTACTCGCTGTTGCTTTTATCGGTCATGACTAATGCTTAATTGTGTGTCTGAGTGGTTAATAGTTTTAAGACTTGGTCTCATATTTACTTTGTTTTATGGTGTTTGTTTATGTGCTGCTTTGTGTTGTGTTGTCCTGTTTTTTGATAAAGCATGTTACCCCCTGTCCCAAGACAAATTTCTCCCATGGGAGACAATAAAGGATTATCTTATCTTATCTTATCTTATCTTGTTTCCTTCAGTGGCTCAGTACTTTGTGCATTTGTTCCTCACCGGAAAAGTGGAAGTTTGATTCCTGCATACCAGGTGTACAGTTTTGTGTTTCTTGGGTAGATTCTTCAGCTGCCCTGTCTCTAATAAACTGTTGCTATACGGGTTTATGAAATGAGAAAGGGCTATTTTCATGGACATCTAAATTGTGAGTCTACACTGAATCAGGCCTAAGTCATTGGTAATGGGTGGACCATGGACAAATAATAAATGATTTGTCATGCATGTCTGGAAAAAAACACAACATGAAAGTGGCCTCCTATGACCTCATAAAGAGTACAGTCCCCTTGCTGGGCTTTCCCTCCTGAGCTCAGCAGAAGTGGTTGTGGTGAAGGTGAGGCTTTGGTGCAATCTGTTACAGCTTTATAACGCTGTCATATGTCCCACTCCCATCTATGTGGGCCATACACACCAGCCCATACAACTCTAAGTTCATCTGTGCTGGTGAAGGCATCTTCCAGGTTTATTTAAGCCTAAGAATTCATGAATAATCACTTTAAATATAAAACATGGTTGTATCAGGACTTACACACAAAAAAACATATGCGGGGCACTTCTCACAGAGGTCCACAAACTGCTAAAAATAATTACAACCTCTGCAATTCAGTTTGAAGAATTATTTTGAGTCCTTTGGAATCAATGTTTTAGCCCAACATAAAGCCACAAGTGGCGGCAATCATTTAGTTCATCCATCCATTCATCCATTTTCTTCTGCTTTATCTGTTGGCTGAGGCGCAGGGGCAAGAGTCTGAAACTTCCCTCTGCACACACACTTCCTCCAGCCTTCAAAGGGATCCCGAGGCCTCCTCCTGGTGGGACATGCCCGGAACACCTTCCCAGGGAGGCCTCCAGGAGGCATCCAGAACAGATGCCCAAGCCACTTCAGCTGGCCCCTCTCGACGTAGAGGAGCAGCGGCTCTACTCCAAGTTCCTCCAGTGTGACTGAGCTCCTCATCCTGTCTCTGAGGGAGCGCCCAGCCACCCTTCGGAGGAAACAAATTTTGACCGCTTGTATCTGTGATCTTATTCTTTTGGTCATTACCCAAAGCTCATGACCATAAGTGAGGGGAGGAACATAGATTGACCGGTAAATCGAGAGCTTTTGGCTCAGCTCCCTCTTCACCACAACGGTTAGATACAGTGAGCCCTGGCAAAGTCCGACATGCACTGCACCGCTCATACAGGGACCGGACAGCCTTTAGCAAAGGGCCCCCGACCCCATACCCCTGGAGCATCCCACACAAGGGACACGGTCGAATGCCTTTTTCAGAACCACAAAGCACATGTGGACTGGTTGGGCAAACTCCCTTGAGCCCTCGAGCACCTGATGGAGAGTGTAGAGCTGATGTGTTCCACACCCGGGACGAAAACCACACTGCTCCTCCTGGATCTGAGGTTCAACTCATTAAGTACACATAGGCTATGTTTGAGTATCATACAATTAAATTGTGTTTATTGTTATCAATTATAACTGAAAAGCTACAAAATTTTTTGGCTTGGGCAGTTTATTGACTATGTGAATGTGACTTGACTGCCAGTGCTTTAGCTTTTTTTTTTTTTTTTTTTTTTTTTGAGACACAGGAGCCCGCATTTTTTTCTTTTTCATCCATCACAGTATCAGTTGGCGGTGTGCTTTTCTAGCCTATAGTCCGGTCCTATAGAGTAGAGCAACTCCGTGCAGAGTTAATACGGGATGAATAAAAGGGCACAGTTAGGTGCATTTAAACAGGTGAGGTGAAGGTCTTCTTCTGTATCTGCAAACTGTCACTCTTATAACATAGTTGGTACAAGTACGGGCGCAACATCGCGTTAAAATTCCAGTCAAACAGTTACCACCACAAGTTCCGGTTATGACACATTTCAAAGTAAAATTATTCCTAAGATATGGGTTTAATGATGAGCAGAAGCAGTACAAAATGAAACCACATGCTTGTTCCTGTGGAAAAAATAGGCTAAAATGTGTGAAAGCGTAGATTAAGTGAAGAAGATCACAGAAAAGAGTGACAACTCCAAAATGTGTCCACTGAAATAGCTAATGTTAGTATTCCGTATCTAACCTGTAAATAGTGGACTAGGCTATATCTTAGCTTTAAGTGTTTGTTCATATTTCAAAGTCTTCGTATCGTCTCTTACTTCATTACCGTACTTATTAAGAAAGGAACACAATTATTTAAGGCTGTAAGCAGATGAGGAGATGAAGAGTCCCAGTCTGTTCACGCTATTTCCTCACAAACACTTTCTAGGGAGAGACCGAATCAGCTGATCACAGGGAGATGCACATGTTCCCTGCAGGGTTATTTTATATTGCTTTTGCCTAGCCTAGTTATTATTATTAGGCAGAAAATAATAATGAGATATATTATACAAGATTTAAACTGTAGGCTATCCCTTCATAAATGTAGGACACTTTTCAATGGAGCTCACAAAGGAACAAGAAATAGTAGGTCATTTGGGCCACATTGCACCACAGTCCTTCATACGCTTGTCACACACTGGGTGTGTCTTGGAAATTTGGTGGTTGCGCTGTTTAGTCATCCCGAGGGAGACCACGCTTTTATGTTGAAAAGTCCACTGAGTTCGATGTTTTTCCGTGGCTTGACGCGCAGCGAGGACCAGCCTGCTGCGCACTTGACAGGATATACAGACAGAGCGCACTGCGGCAGTGGGGATGAACGGGGCAAGTGCGGAGTCTCGTAAACACGCTTAAGCGCGTTTTTATGACTGGATTATTGTGTTGTTATTTTCTGAGACTTGTTTACAGCGGCAACATTGTGAGCGGATACCCTCCTGTGTGAGCGCATCAAGGGACAAGCCTGGGACCTGGAGGGGCCCCTCCACACTTAACAGTGGGTATGTCCTGCAAGTTTGAGCAACTTATACATGACACTCAGTATAGGCTACTATTTGGTTACATGGGTGTTCAGGCGTCGGGCTCGTGCATGCAGTCGTCTTAGCACTTTCACTTTCGTCAGATGGCATTAGGGCTATTTGTGTTGCAGCGCTTGAGATATTGGCTGATAAACCTGTGACACCACTCAGGAGACTTGTAAACCAACTAAACATTTGTTTTGTTCCTGTTCTTGATCCTTATTTAATCATAGTCATTTAAAGCAACATTAAAGCCATTCACATGGAACTAGATCTGCATTTTTATCAGAAATAATCCAAATAAATAGTTTAAAAGGCAGATTACTACAGAACTCTTCATTTTAAAGTGGACAATGATTTTTCACAGGACAGATTCATTATTTTTGCATTGTCTGATTCTGTTTAGATTTTACTGAAAGAATGTCTAAGTAAAGTTGTCTTATAGATTCTGGCCCCTTATTAACGAGTTTAGACCCTTGTTTGGGCGCCATAATTATTGGTTTAGAGATCCGTTTACATTTTATTCGTTCCATGATCCTCTTGCAGGGATTTCAGAAAAATAATACAGAAACAAAAAGTAAATCTGCCCCACGCAATGCGTGTAAGATAGAGGTCCTGACCCCTCCTCCTGTTAGTCTCTCTTTAATTGCTGTCGGTTTGATGTTTTCACTTGCTGTTTGAATTTGTATTAAGCGTTCAGTACATAAGGTCAAGGTTATAATAATTATGCGAGGAATGTGGACTGCTAGAGGCGCAAGAATACCACATTGCTGTGATAGGCCGAGGGACATTTGTCTGTATTATCTGCCGTATACGCGCAGCTGGCATTGGGGTCACCGGAGTAGGGCTATATCGTAGCCTATGTGGTGTCTAGAAACCTCTCCCACCCACCTCTTACCTCCCACCTCTCATCTGACTCGTTTTTACGCTTCTTCATATCATCTCAGGCTATATAGTAGTTTTTTTTTCTCCAAGATTGTTACAAATAAATCTGATGCCTTTCACTGCACATTAAAGGTCCTATATTATGCTGCTATTTCCTCAAAAACATACCTGGAGTTGTATTTTGTTTCATTTACACCTGTTTGAGTAACTCTTTATTATTAGCATGTCTACATCTCCGAAGCTCAAAATGTTCTGTTCCACTTTGTGATGTCATGAAGCAGTAGTTTTCAAGTTATCAGCAAGAGATTGGGATTTACAGTGCTGAAATTATCCAAATGATTCAAGTGAAGATGTGTGGAGTTTAAAAATACAGTGGAGCACTTTCTGTATCACCGCATGACATCACAAGGTGGTGTTTTCTGTTTCTGTGTGTGAATGAAACAAAATGCAACTCCAGGTTTTTAATGAGGAAACAGAAACTATTGTAATATAAACCCTTAAAGTGCAAAGTTCCTGTAGTTTGATAGCCTAGCAGTTTTGTTGTGTACATGTTAAGTTAAGTTTTTTTTCTTTTCTTTTTTTTTTTTTAAATATGAGCTAAGAAACAGTTGGCCTGCGCCATGTGTTACTTTAGTTACACAGCCGTTTGGGTGTCTCCCCCCTGACTTCATCATTGGTTGCTTCACTAGCTCAGCCTGGGCTTTACTGAGTTTGTCAGCTGGCTTCTTGAGCTCTCGCCATATAATGACAAATCCAGAGGGGGAAGATCAACGGAAGCACCTCATTATCCAAAGCACAAATGTTTATGTGGATAAATAGGCCTATATAAATTCTTTAAGTGCTCCTTTAATGATTGAAATTTTACTCACTTTTACGCTGCAGAAAGGGCCAACTCACTAGCCTATTAACTATAAAATGTCTCATAAAACACATTTACTGTCTTGGTTTATAGAATTTTTACATCTAGGGACTAGCAATGCACTGATCCAGCTTTTTCAGTTCCGATACCGATACTACATCTTTAAATATCTAACTGACCAACCAGTACCAGAGCAAGACTGAAAACAGCATTTCCTTTAAACAACCTACTACGACCAGTAAATACTTTTTTTTTCTATAAGTCCAAACAGGATATCTGCTGAATCAATACTAGGAAGTCGATATCTGATCAAGAAAATGTTTCAGTATCTGCGCTGATATCCATGACCATTACCAGATCGGTGTATTCCTACTTGGGACATTTCTTATTCTACACACTGCGGTTGACAATTTTTTTAGACATAAAAAAAATTAATTGTTCATTTTTACAAATTACGATGGCAAATTCTGGCAGATGTGGCGATGACTGGGCCAAGTTAAACTTGTTTGACTGGATTGGCACATGTTATAATTGAGTGTGGCTGGACTATTTGGGAGAAATGTCTAATTGTGATTGTGATTAGAATAGCGATTTATGTTTTAATAATAGGATTTGTTCAATGTTCACATTTTAATCATGTGCAAGATTTCCAAAAAGCACAGATCTAGAGGGCTGCTTTTATTCTCAATAAGAATATTTTATTGTTTGTGGATTAAATTGTGATACTTAAAATGTTGCAGTATTTGCGATTTGCCAGAGTGTCTTTTGAAATTGCCACTTTGATTAATCCTGCAGCCCTATTTTCATATAATTACCTAGTATACAGCAGACAAACAATGTGACCCTGTATCGTGCAGCGCAATCAAACACCAGTGACCTCTGTAAAGAGGTTCAAAATGTTTGTGTAATTGTATTGTATTTTAATCAAGCTCTTGAATCTTTTGGTGACTATGAGAGCTCTCAGATCCATGATGTTTAGACTAAGCATTTAGGTACATGATGGGACTCATGTTTATTCAAAGGGGGAGGGTGTAACCCATGTAAACATATGGTTTCTAATATTTCATTGTGTAAAACTTTCATTTCGGACACTCCTTGAACACACCACTCTTTTCCTAAGTCTCTTTGAATGTATCATGTGCACATGCGGCTTGCACCTAGCTAGAGACGGCAGTGAGACACGGAGAGCATGTGAACAAGATATACAGTGAGTCAAACAGTCTGAAAAGTGTAAAAAATGTACTTTAAACTAGGGGTGGGCGATATATATCGATATTTTAAATATATCGAGATATTTTTTAAACTCGATATGAATTCTGACATATATATTGATATAATGCTTATATTCAATTTTGCTTCGCTTGTTTACCTTCTCTCTCGTCGCCTCCACGCGTCCCCGCCTCCCTGATTTTGTTCGCTCGTGTCTCCTTCACTCCTCACTACCACCCTGAACGCGAAAGTTGTTGCCAGTGAAAAGCTTCAAGCACCACGAACCTTTTCCACCATTTACAGACAAAACCATCAGCAGCACATCCTCATATTCCACCGAGTCGCGTCCTTTAGCCCAAAAGAAGCTAAACAAGCTGAGCTGCGTGAGAAGTGCGCTTAAGTTTCCATCCATCCATCCATTTTCGTCCGCTTATCCGGGGCTGGGTCGCGGGGGCAGCAGCCTAAGCAGGGACTCCCAGACTTCCTTCACCCCAGACACGTCCTCCAGCTCCTCCAGGGGAACCCCGAGGCGTTCCCAGGCCAGCCGAGAGACAGTCCCTCCAGCGTGTCCTGGGTCTTCCCCGGGGCCTCCTCCCTGCGGGACATGCCCAGAACACCTCCCGAGGGAGGCGCCCAGGAGGCATCCGGAACAGATGCCCGAGCCCCCTCAGCTGGCTCCTCTCGACGTGGAGGAGCAGCGGCTCTACTCCGAGCTCCTCCCGTGTGACTGAGCTCCTCACCCTATCTCTAAGGGAGCGCCCAGCCACCCTGCGGAGGAAACTCATTTCGAGCGCTTGTATCCGCGATCTTGTCCTTTCGGTCACTACCCAGAGCTCATGACCATAGGTGAGAGTAGGAACGAAGGCTGACCGGTAAATCAAGAGCTTCGCCTTTTGGCTCAGCTCCCGCTTCACCACAACGGTCCGATACAGCGACCACATCACTGCCGAAGCTGCACCGATCCGCCTGTCAATCGTTCCGTCCTTCCCTCACTCGTGAACAAGACCCCGAGATACTTGAACTCCTCCACTTGAGGCAAAGACTCCCCACCCACCCGGAGAGGGCAAGCCACCTTTTTCCGGTCGAGAACCATGGCCTCAGACTTAGAAGAGCTGATCTTCATCCCAGCCGCTTCACACTCGGCTGCAAACCGCCCCAGTGCACATTGCAGGTCCTGGTTCGATGAAGCCAACAAGACAACATCGTCTGCAAACAGCAGAGATGAGATCCTGTGGTCCCCAAACCGGACCCCCTCCGGCCCCTGACTGCGCCTAGAAATTCTGTCCATAAATACAATGAACAGAACCGGTGACAAAGGGCAGCCCTGGCGGAGTCCAACATGCACCGGGAACAGGTCTGACTTACTGCTGGCAATGCGAACACAGCTCCTGCTCCAGTCATACAGGGACCTGACAGCCCTTAGCAAAGGGCCCCAGACCCCATACTCCCAGAGCACCCCCCACAGGACACCACGAGGGACACGGTCGAATGCCTTCTCCAAGTCCACAAAGCACATGTGGACTGGTTGGGCAAACTCCCATGAACCCTCGAGCACCCAATGGAGAGTGTAGAGCTGGTCCAGTGTTCCACGGCTAAGACGAAAACCACACTGCTCTTCCTGGATCCGAGGTTCGACTATCGGCCGGATTCTCCTCTCCAGTACCCTGGCATAGACCTTACCGGGAAGGCTGAGTGTGATCCCCCTATAGTTGGAACACACCCTCCGGTCCCCCTTCTTATACAGAGGGACCACCACCCCGGTTTGCCAGTCCAGAGGTACTGTCCCCGACCGCCACGCGATGTTGAAGAGGCGTATCAGCCAAGACAGCCCCACAACATCCAGAGATTTAAGGTACTCAGAACGGATCTCATCCAACCCCGGAGCCTTGCCACCAAGGAGCTTTCCAACCACCTCAGTGACTTCAGCCAGGGTGATGGATGTGTCCGCCTCAGAGTACCCAGCCTCGGCCTCCTCCCCGGAAGACGTGACGGTGGGATTGAGGAGATCCTCAAAGTATTCCTTCCACCG